AAGTGATTTGTCATTAACACGTTGGTGTTGGTGATTTTGAGTTAAAATGTGTGTTGATGTTGATTGTAGCAGTGAATTCTGTTTCCTATTTAGCGAAGCTTCCAGCATAGCGAAGTTTAAGCTCAAATAACTACTATATCAAGATACCACAGAGTGTTGTAAACCAAAAGTTCCATTGGAATAACATACGGAGATCCTTGTGGGATTTGTTCCCGCGACTGCCTACTTACGATATACATGATTGGAAATCTGTCGCAGTTACAAATAAGGTATTTATTTTTCTCGCCAATGTTAAGCTCCCAGACAGCACAGTAAGTACATCAGACTATCCAATTTTATTGCAAAATCGCCCCTATGAAAACAACATAAGAACCCTCATTGTTAATCTTGATGTGCTGTTGTCCATACTACGAGGTGAATATAGTTAAAACAAAGAATTGTATCACATTTAGACCCGTCGATGCTTTTTTTCATTCTTAAAAAAATCTGCTTATAGCTGGTCGTTAAGCTTTCATATGCGGTTTTGTAACGGCATTCATTTTAAACTTATATTTATTTAACCATTGCCTATGATCGATTGCTCCATTAACCGCACAATGCGTTGGATATTGAATACGCGGTATCGACTGGAAGTAATCTGTTAACAACTGCAACAAATTAAAACATTTTTGGCTTTGTGAGTGATTTACAATGATAATGACCGTTTAATTATTGATTTGCGGGTTTTTATTCCTTGTTATGGTGTTAATTTGATTAATGAGATTCTTTTAACACCATTGTGTAAGTACCTATGTCTGTTCCTTAACCGTTTGAAGATTGTTAAGGGACCTCGAGTAATAGCTAAAACGCAAGGAAGGATTTTGTGCCGAAACTTACATCATTTGCAATGCTTTTTATATCAGAGAATTTCATGACAATTCTGCGTTGATCGCAGTGTAATGCATTTTGGAACCTTGAATAAGGTTTAGGCTTAAAATACACAATTTTTTCTTTAATTTTGATCAAGAAGTCGCTACCTGTGGAGGCAGTGCAGTCACTTTAAGCTCGACGTATGGTCGACAGCTCCATATCAGATTATACGATTTATTTAGCAAAATAGCTTATTGAACAACATCCTTTGGAGGAGTTGCAGCGCTGGGAACGAGGCATAATAGTTTCGTAGTATATTTTTATGCATAACAAGGCAGGTATTTGACCACAATCGCACGTGCTAAGTGAGATGCAGTCTAGGAAGGTACAGTCACGGAATGAAAAGGTTCGTCAGTTTTCAAATTGATTCCTTCAACGAATCGCGAGCACATAATTATTACCTTTTGAAACTATGTTACAGAATAATCTCGAATTAGAAAAAATAATCTTTAACTGTTCGTCAGTAAAGTTCAAAATTAGTCAGATCAAAGTTGTTGGACGATTTAACTTGTCAAGAAGATTATTATGATTGATAAACTAAAACCTTCTTGTTGGTTCAACCTGCCATTATCTATTAAATAAAAAAAACTACATTTTGTAACATTGCACTGATGGGGTAGAAAAATAAACAAGCAAAACCTTATTCGTTAGCAAACGTCATATTTATTTAAATGTTAGCAGCACTGTTTCTTGCACGGTTATGTTGGCAGGTTTGACTTTTACAGTACCTAGTGCAAGCGAAAACCGACACTAAGGTGACGAACCTTTTCATTCCGCAACTGTACATAATTATCTGCCCTGTAACATATGGCATAGTTAGTTTAGTTGTTGCATGTGCTACATTGTACATGTTGATCCACAATTGTCTATTCAGCACTTGCACCTTGGGAACCTCGCATATGGCCAGTCAACTAAGGCGGCATAATTGCCTCATTCACGAGGAGTGCGTCAGGGGATGATTAGGATGCTTTGTCAGCTAGCGCGGAGTTTAGGTGGCATTTAATTGATATCTGCCTGACACCAGGTACAGCAGTTATTTGGGGACATAGTTAAGTAGAAGCAGTAACGCAGCAAGTAGAGTTTCAGGAACCCAAAACAACAGTTCTTGTATGCAGATCGCTACCGTAACGATATAAAAAATTCAATTTTTATAACGTGTTAACGCTTAACGGCTGGTTGACACATGCCTCCGTTTTACTGTTCCGTTTTATCGTGTACGTTTTTTTGTTCGTCGACGTATGTTTTACTGTATACCTACAGAATACTGTGTCATGTGTGAAGTCGCACATACAACTACATACGCCATCGACGAAAAAAAACGTACACGATAAAACGGAACAGTAAAACGGAGACATGTGTGAACCGGCCGTAACTTCACATTCCAAAAATTCCATAACTTTCCTTGATGTCGATTTTGAAGAGCTTTATTAAGCTTTAACCAATTTTTTCTGTGTAGCTTTCCACTGTGATAATAAGTCATAGTAGAATAATTTTACCACAAATGTGCCTTTAGGCTACAAAACTAAAGAGGGCATTGGAGCCTCGTATAATATTTAATTCTAAGGACTAGCCTGAGACATTCTACTGTTTCATTTTACTGTGCCGAAGCTACGTAGGTATCACATGGAACAATTATTGTTATTGAGGTGAGAAGCATGTGACATGTTAAGCGTGGTTCTCACTTGTGGCACGTAATCTATCTGATACCGTATCAAGCGCATTTATACCTTTGCTTGTCTATCATTTTGTTGAAAACTGGTATAAAATTGAACGCCTATTTTCTCTGGATTTTTTTTGCTGCAAATCCGATGATAAATTAAATTTCCCCCAAGGCTAACTAGCTAAGAATGGTTGGCTTTTATAGGAGGTCAAGTTGTAAATCTTGTCTGTACGTACATAATCTGGTGAAGGTCGCGGGAAGTACCTGGATGCGGATAGCGCAGAACCAGTCGTAATGGAAATCCTTGGGGGAGGTCTTTGTCCAGCGGTGGACGTCATTTAGCTAAAACGACTAGCTCAAAGTTGCAGTTGAGGAGATCCGTAAACGAACTAAAGTCGCTGTCATAGCCCAACGGATTAGCAAGCTGAAGTGTCAATGGGCAGGGCACATAGTACGCAGAACTGACGGTCGATGGGGCAGCAAGGTTCTGGAATGGAGGCCGCGTACCGGGTAACGCAGCGTGGGTCGTCCACCCAGGTGGACCGGCGACATCGTAACGGTATCAGGAAAGCGCTGGACGCAGGCCGCTACCAATCGATCAACATGGAAAGCATTGGGGGAGGCCTATGTCCAGCAGTGGACGGCCTATGGCTAAAATGATGATGATGATGATGACTAACAACTTTTCTATACAGGGTGGTGAAAACATGCTGGAAGAGTCCCGATATATTGAGCCATTTACTTGTAGCTTCTCGCCAGTTAAGACGATTTGCGAGCACAAAGGCGATAGCAGTGTATTTGCAGATGGCAATGCAACTTCAATCGAACATGTTTGCCCGTATAAAGGAGGTCGAATTTCGAAGGAACACACTACAGTTTCAATTGCTTCTGGATACATCGCGTGGTAAGTTGTAGAACCTATTCAATTGAAGGTTTATACAGTATCAATATATAACGTGATGTCTATATTATTGAGTAAGTGCCTAGCTTTAAGCAAAATGCGAAGTTGACCAATGACCGTGTATGGAAATTGGGGACATACGACATGAAAGTGTATTTTGCAACGTCACTAAAACATACTGTGCAACCTAGGTACCCCTTCGTAATGATAAGTGTGACAGCCTAAATAATTATAAAAATACTGTATTTAATTTCAATAATTTTTTTTCATTGCAGTGCATTCCAATAGTGTTTAACCTTCAAGCGGGCGCGCGGTCTTTTGTAACGGCAGCGGTCGCGCGTAACCGAAAAGACCTATAGGGTCTAGTTGCGAAATAAAGCACTTATTTTAAATGAATCATTTATTATTTTGTACGCAGATATATTATGATTGTATTAAAGTCAAAAGTAATTTGAATTAAGTAAAAGAAACAATTATTTAATCAATTAACATAACGCAAATATTATTTGAATCAAAAACCAATTTTGGAACACAAAACCTTTTAAAATACCTCAGAATAGTTCATACCTGGTAAAAACGATAAAAATGGCAAAATAATGATAAAACATAATTTTATAATTTTTTAGCTTGGTCTCTGAGCTCCGATTCACTCTCTTTTTTAACTTTTCTTAGTAATGCCTCTGTTATTTCACTTTGTACTAGCAGTCTAAGACTTATTTAATAAGAAAAAACAGTATTGCAAGCTTAATTCAATAATATTGAGTGATAGCCGAAGAAATGTTATATCGCATAGAGAGTCGCGCGTAACCTTTTCGACGACAGGCGCGTGGCGTGCTTTCGACGCCGGCGCCGCGAATAAAAAAATAGCAAGCCATGGGGTGGGAAAAGCGCAGAGAGCTGAGGTAAGCTCTTTATTTCACTCATAATGAGCAAACGACAGGCTACTAAAAATGAGAAATATGTGTAACAAGTAAAAAAAAAGTTATGAACAAAAATGTGTTAGGCGCGGTCGATTCGACGCCGCGCGCCCGCTTGAAGGTTAAAGATTAGATTTTAAACCAAACAAAAATAGAAAGACACGGGTCTCAACAAAAAAAACAAACAAAAAAGTGTTTAATATTAGCTAAGCATCTCTTTGGCCAATCGAATGAATGTCACGCCATAAAAGAGCGCTGCTCGTTTTTGAAACGAAGACGCGGGAACTACCCGCATCCAGTCAAACTCACAAATGGCGCGCGCGTTCGAGTGAAAAACCGCAATAACAGTGTAAAAACCCGCTTTGTTCAAATTATGCTGTGAATTGTGTGTTGTGAGTGTAGCAAGACCCAGTAAAACTATTGGATAAGCCCCAGCCGGACAATCTCAAAACCTAAGACGTCGACCGGCAACGTTGGCCAAGTAAGTCCTAAGGCCTCAGCCTCGAACTTAGCGGGCAGCGGGGCGGCGGCGGCGGCGGGGCGGGAGCGGCAGGATCTTTTGCATAAAATCAAATAGACCGGTTCTCGAAAACAGCGGCGCGGCAGCGGGGCGGCAGCGGGCAACGAGCGGGCGGCGCACGCACTCCAGTCTAGCGGCGACCGCTCGCGCTGCGCGACGCGCGTCTGCATTCTAGGGTAGTGCTGTCCAATTGTTTTGTTACGTGTGTCAAAATGTCCTCGGACGAGCAAGAGCGAATAATTTCAGCAATCTTTGAGAGGAGACCTATATGGAACAGCAAAGATGTAAACCATAAACATAGAAGAGTAATTAACCAATTATGGGAAGAAATAAAAAACGAACTTAATATTGAAGGTAAATATAAAAATGATTTATTATGTCAATTGTTTATTATATTACACATATTAATTAGTAACTAATGCGATTACTTACAAAATAATCTTTGTATTTTTCACGTATATATTGTGCTTGATAAGAAGTTCGCCAGTTTGTTCCTGATCGTGTTTGTATTATTTCTTGATTCATATTGACATTAATATAGGCAATATCATTATCACCGTCCTTATCTCGGATAATGTTATGCAACAAACAGCAAGTTTTGATGAGTAATCTTGCGTGACGTTTGTTTGTCTCTATTGGTGATCTGAAAATATGCCATTTGGATCTTAAAATTCCGAAAGCACACTCAATAGTCTTGCGAGCCCGCGATAATCGCTTATTAAATATTTCATTTTCTGAATTAAGTACGCTTTGAGGATATGGTCGCATCAAATAGGTTTTGAGTGGATATCCTTCGTCTCCAATAAAAACCATTGGTAGAATGAAATCCGATCTGGGTAGATATTGTGGACGGGGTATATTAAAGTTATCACTTTGAAGTAAATGGTTTAAATTAGAATAATGGAATGTCCCTGCATCGCTCTGTTTTCCTCTTCCTCCAACTTCTATACAAATGAATCTTTTGTCAGCATCCGCGACAGCTTGTAAGTGCATCGAAAAGTAATGTTTATAATTATAATGCGATGATCCAGCAAACTTAGGATTTTTAATTCGACAGTGTTTGCCATCTATAGCTCCGATGCAATTAGGAAATTGCCATTTTTCATAGTATTTTTCCGATATTATTTTCAATGATTCTTCTGTCGGTTTTGGCATATGTAAATTTACTAAATTTTTCCATATAGCTTCACAAGTCATATAAACAATGTTAGCCACCGTTGTTTTTCCCATTCTGAATGACAACGACAGCCTTTTGAAAGTCTGCCCACTAGCCAAAAACCTGAAAATAGCATAAGTATGTTAAACTTAAGTATGTTATAAACAGTCAGTTCATTATTTTGTTGCAGTGACCGATTTAAAGAAAAAATGGAAAAATATAAAAGATCACTACAGAAAAGAATTAAAAAGATATCCTGCTCCTCGATCAGGAGATGCAGGAAATGTTAATCGGCCCTCGAATTGGCAATACTTTTCTCAATTGGGGTTTTTGCGAGATGAAGTTATGCCAAATGTTACTGAGGGTAATTTAAGCCACACTGAAGTAAGCAATCGAATTAGTAATTCTTCTATTGAGCTAGAACACTCTCAAGAAAATACGACCGGTCACGATGAAGAAGCTTCTATTTATCCACAACAAGAATCCTCACAAGATGCTTCTATATCTTTACAAGAAGCTTCTTCTTTATCGCAAGAAATTTCTACGCCTTCGAGAGAAGCTTCTACTTCACAACTATCAAGAAAAAAGAAAACAGCGAATGATATACGAACTGAATTTTTGGAATTGGAAAGGAAAAAGATAAGACTACTGGAAAATGATTTATCAAATCAAAGTAGAAACGAAGCTTCTAGGCATGAGAATAAATCAGATGACTACTACTTTTTAATGAGTTTGCTTCCACAAATGGAAAAATTCACGCCAATACAAAAGTTTAGAGTAAGACAAAAATTTAATCAAGCTCTTCTAGATGAGTTAAGTGTAAATGAAAGCATGTACCCTTCTAATGAATCATGTATGTATAATACTCAACACTAGGTATATTATCTTTCAAATGAAAATACTGTTAATAAGTCAAAAAACTGTGATTGTAGAAATAAGTACCTAATCAGAGTTTGACAAATGAGTAGGTCATCTTCATAGAAACCAGAGTAAATACAAATGAGAAGGTCATCTTCATAGTATTTACTCTGGTTTCTATGAAGATGACCTACTCATTTGTATTTACTCTGTAGAAACGCACCGAGCGCGGTTTGTATGCGAGCGCGCCAACACGTATGCGGCGCGCACGCACACACTGACAAAATTTAGCGTGGATTAGCGGGGAGTTGCGCCGAATTTTGTCAGTGTGTGCGTGCGCGCCCCATGCGTATTGGCACGCGCTCACATACAAACCGCGCTCGGTACGTTTCTATGAAGATGACCTAGGTAGGTACTCATTTGTATTTACTCTGACCTAATCATCGTACAAATGAAAACTGTGATTTTTAGTTATAAGATTAGAATATGCGTGGAATAATACTCATCACTAGGTAATATCAAACTTATAATTGAATTTGAAATACTATCCATAAATAACAAAACTGTGATTGTAAAAGTAACTAATGATCGTACAAATGAAAACTGTGATTTTAGAGATAAATGACAAATTGTTATGTTACTTATTTTATATGAAACGTACTTTACTTATATAAAAGAAAGTCGTGTTAGTTACACTATTTATAACTTAAGAAAGGCTGAACCGATTTGGCTGAAAATTGGTAGGGAGGTAGCTAAAAACTAGGAGAAGGACATATGATACTTTTTATCACATTCCCGTCGTTCCCGTTTGACGTGACATAAAACATGAAAAACTAACATTTTGTATGAAACGCGCACCGGCGCGGTACGAAGTTCGCCGGGATTTTTATATAAAAGGTGTAAGGAACGGTCTTAAACATTAAAGTTTAAGTTAACGCTAAACCGTTGTGTTTTCTTCAAAGGTACTTCATCAATTATTGTATCTGGGAACTTAAGTAAGACCGATGCCAAATTATTTACTTACTAAATTAGTGTAACACAATTTCTTTTTTGAAATTATCAATAAATACAATCACAAAATACAATTTCGTTGTTTTACTTACCCAAGAGTCAAGTATAGTTTTTCTGCTGGAGATATACCTCTATATTGTTTTGGATTTATTAATATAGTCTCTAAATCGCTCTTGATAGTTTCAAGAATGTAGTCAAATGTTTCTACACTCATTCTGGTGTAGTCGTAGAATTTGTCGGGATTTTGTCTCTGTTCTTCGTAATTTCGATAAAACTCTCCTTTTAATTTCCTCGCCCTATAGTAGGGATTCACTTCTTCTTTTGCCCACAATAAATCGAGCGTAAGGAATAAATTTGAATCGAAATAAATTTGTCGCCGTTGTTCAGACATTTCGTTCGCGAATAAAAACAAATATCTCGACAACACAACCCCGAACACAACACTTCGCCGCTAAAGCGCCGCGCGAGCTGCCCGCTGGTTTCGAGAACGGGTCTGCGCTGCCCGCCCCGCTCCCGCCCCGCCGCCGCCGCCGCCCCGCTGCCCGCTAAGTTCGAGGCTGAGGCCTAAAACTTCCCTGCCTGTAGTGGACCAGTCAACCTAGAAACTTCTCCAGGTTAAATCTTTCTGCAAAGTCTTCAAATAGGAATAGGTTAGTTTCCTAAACAAAATTTTTGTCCGTCAATGAAATTATCAAAGAATATTGTACACTGTAATATTTTTATTTGTCAATCAAACAAGTAATTGAGAAATTGAGCACGCCTTGACATCACAGGCTTCTTCTTTTGGCGCGTTTTATCTCTTAATTTTCATTAGTTTAAAAAAGTGATAAATACGTGTCGAGTATTTTTGATAAGTTAACCAACGGTCTAATTCAAACTCTTGTTTTTTTAACCAGGAAACATCCCTATTCTAACATTTAAAAGATACATCTTGAGTTGATTCCTGGTGAATCGTCACGTCCACGTTCAGATTTCAGTAGAAAGTCGAGAGCTTCTAAATAATAGAAATAAGATTTACAAGAGAATTTGATACCTAAGTAGGTATTACTAACAAAAAGCAGGGGGCATATTCTTTCTCACTTCCAAAATGAATTTCCAAAGCACAAACTAGGTTGAAGCTAACGAAGTCTCCATTTTCAATTCTGTAATCACACGAGCTCGCCTTCGCTCTAAACAAATTTCGCTCGCTTTTATATCATGTGTTGTAACGACAAAAATATTGCACGTCGCCGACGCCTCTGAAATTGCTGTTCCAACGATCAGCGCTAACGTTCCTATAGTTTTGCAGGGAACAAAAAATGCAGTGACACCAATAGATTGATGGCGGGTCGTGATGTAGAGACAACACATGAGTGTATGGATTTCTATTGCAAAGTATCAGTTATTCGAATATAATTTTGTGTTTACAGTGCATGAAAGTACACTACGGCTAAACTCTTTGAGCAATAATGTTAAAGTTAGAGTCCATGATATTATTTCCTATGATAAACATAAGGCTTACAAAAGTGTCCGGATTTCTTTCGCCATTTATAAGAATTAGCTGATAGTAAATTGGCCTGAGTGACGATAGTTTGTATTAATAGGAAAAAGCCTATAAAGCCTAAAACCTAAGCCTAGACTATATTGAAAAAGCTCAGGATGAATTTTAAGGCCCAGAACAGACGGTGAAACGCAACTGCAACGAAACTGGAACTTTCTGATGATTCTGATGAATGAAACTGAAACTGAAAGTTTCAAACTGGTCGCGTCATGAGTGGTCTCTCAACGGACGCTATGGCAGAAACTTAGATGCAACTCAAAAGTAACTAGCAGTTGCAGTTGCGTTTCACCGTCTGTTCTGGGCCTAAGCGTTGTACTTTTAAACTTATATCATCATATATGTAACTCAAAACCCGTTATAAATTCGAGCTATTTTCCATTGCAGAAAGTCTTGAATATCAATATTCCGTGCAATCACAGACTTGAGTGTGCATTCATATTTGAATATTGTTTCATAATACAAGTCTATGTACCTTATTAAATTATAGATTACACGAAAACTCCCTCTATTTTCAAATTCAAATATTACAAGCCTCAGTCTTGTTAATTGGAGCGTTCACTCTCACTCAACGTCAATAGCGGTTTCTACTCGCTAATCAGGTCGCCAAAAATCCAGTAAAATCTAGTTGCTGCCAGCTCTAGGGCGTTTCGCACCACGAACGATTCGGACCGCGGTGTGAGACGCCCAAGTGGCATTTTTGTTGTTTTTTATACCGTGGAGTGTACACTCGCCCGTTTCTCGGGTGAGTTGTCAACTAACTCGCCTAAGAACTTTATGTAACGTGATAGGAAACCAAACAGTTCTTTCTTTGGGTTGATTTGAAGAGAAAAAGTCTTAATATTATGTACGTTGTATACTCCAGAGTATAGTTCCGAATTAAAATATTTTATATGATTCCTTTGACTTCGTACCCCTCCAAGTGTATACCTAGCGTGAAAAGCCTCATTCAATAACAGTTTTTTGTCGACTCACACCGCGGTTCGAAACACTCGTGGTGCGAAACGTAGATCCCTAGTGGGTTTGGCTATAGCTCTAAAAGGCACATGATAAATTAATCACACGGTCGGCCTATCCGTGATCCGTGTTGCGCTTGATATCGTTACACAGTGCATAGCGTTTTGTTTGGATACCCGTGACACGTACAGTCGTGAGAAAAAATAATGGGTTATTTTTTATGCTCCGTTGTTCTATATCCGGTCGAGCTTCGAATTTATTCGTTTTAAGACATCGACACGCTCAATGGCCTAAAACGTATATTTTCACGAAATAATAGACTTATTCCCGCTTTCACCATCAATTCCTAATTTTTAAGTGACCCTATAGTAACACATAACAGGAATTTTGTTTTCAAAGGGGATACTTAAAATTTAGGGATTGATGGTGAAAACGGGCTTAAGTGAGTGTGAGTTTTGTTGTGGCTTCTAGAAGCAATGCAATTACTTCAGCAATTAAAGTTTTTCTTATTTATAACTTTAGATTTCCACCAGAGTTAAGAAAAAATATAAAATTGATTCATTAGCTATAAAATTGAAGGTGTAATATATCAGACATGATATAACATTTGAGCATCCATTTATTACAGAATTATACTGAATGAATTGCTAAAATCAAGTGGCAGTGGGCGGGGCACATAGCTCGAAGAGCTGATGGCCGCTGGGGCAGGAAAGCTCTTGAGTGGCGACCACGAGCCAGAAGACGTAGCGTGGGCAGGCCTCCCACTAGGTGGACCGACGATCTGGTCAAGGTCGCGGGAGGTACCTGGATGCGAGCGGCGCAGGACCGATCTTTGTGGAAATCCTTGGGGGAGGCCTTTGTCCAGCAGTGGACGTCTTTCGGCTGAAACAACAACAACAACTGAATGAAAGTGAGCTCATAAAAAATTTAAATGACATGAACCCAGAAATAGTTCAACATTTTCGGTCCCGACTGTAGCTTAACGCGTTTGAGTGATTATGATAGCTCAACATTGTTAGTTTAATTAATCAGAGCTACATTTAAACTGTGTTGATTGCTCTCATGCAGTAAATAGGTAGCAGTTGTTTATGAATTTTATTACGAATACAAATAGTGGTTTTAAGAGCAGATCAAAACGATAAAAGGTTCTGAAATGAGAGCATTTCAGCCAAATGTTGTCCACTGCTGGGAAAAGGCCTATCCCAAGATCGGTCCTGCTGCCCGCATCCAGGTGAAAGTTTTAACAATAATATCGTAGCTGCTTATTTTATTGAAAGATATAGACAATATCTATTATTTTGCCTTACTATGTAAGTTCGTTTCAGCCGAAAGACGTCCACTGCTGGGCAAAGGCCTCCCCCAAGGATTTCCACAAAGACCGGTCCTGCGCCGCTTGCATCCAGGCACCTCCCGTGACCTTCACCAGAACGTCGGTCCACCTAGTGGGAGGCCTGCCCACGCTACGTCTTCCGGCTCGTGGTCGCCACTCAAGAACTTTCCTGCCCCAGCGGCCATCAGCTCTACGAGCTATGTGCCCCGCCCACTGCCACTTGATTTTAGGGATTCTGCGAGCTATGTCAGTCACTCTAGTTCTCCTCTAGTTAAGCTTTATCACTTTTT